CAGAAAATGCAACCAACTTCTATGACTGAACCTTGGAGGTTTTGAAAAATATCCCTGCAGATTTCTCAAAGCAAGCGTCCGTAAAAGAATGGAAGCTGTTATAAAGGTGATGAGTGATATTACATGATATTATATTTAGTCGTTGAGGCTTCTGTGTAATTTTCTTTTAAGAATGTTTTCTGCTTTTTCTTTCCTAATACTGAAAAATAAATAACTTTAATTCAATAAAAAATTAACAAATTGACGTGTATCCTGCCTTCCGTCCTATGACTGCTGGGATAGGCTCCAGCTCCCCCCGCGACCCAGAAGGATAAGTGGTTTGGAAAATGTGTGTGAAATTTGGAATATACTTTTTTCCCATGTGGGGAGGTCAGCTACTGATGTTGGATCTGGATCTGGATTGGTTCTGGATCACAAACGCACTCCAACTCATCTCGAAGGTATTCAAGGTTGCCCAGTGCTGGTGAGCTTTATACCCCTCCAGTCGACATTGAGCTCATGTGTTGCTACTCATTCTATTGGTCAGTGCTTTTCTAGGGAGATTTTAATTAAAAGACGTGTCTGGATACTTTTAGACATATCATGTATATCTATATCTAACTAGCTTAAAACAGAAAGCAGATGTGTCAAGCTCATATTAGACTTACTACACTCTTTTTTTGTATGCATTCAGCTGATGGTCATGTTGTTGCACTCAACACTTTACAGTGCACATCAGATGCCTTACTCATACTCTGAGACATCTCTAAGGTGCCTTTTGCTAAGAATATCTAACGTCCGCTGACTGACTCACAACCTCACATGCCTCAATGCTTGCCTTAAGCCCTAAAATCCCCCTACAAGACTGCATCATAGTTCACATTACTGAAAATATCCACAGTCTAATTTGGTCATTCATCTAAGCCAGGACTTGCCCAATCCTGTTCCTGGAGATCTACCAACCTGGAGGGTTGGCTCTAGTGTTCAGATGCTCCTGAAGACCTTCATCACCAGAATCAGGTGTGTTTGATCAGGGTTGGAGCTAAATTCTGCCGGGTAGTGGATTTCCAGGTCCAGGATTAGGCACCCCTGATCAAGGTCTATGGACTATGAAGATTAAGACTGAGCAAGAGGAGGTCTAGATTAAAGGCTGCACAGGCTCATTAATGTGTTTGGCCTTAACCTCTTTCTACAGGCCATCTAGAGGCTATTCCACCAGCAGAAAGCAAATCGATTCAAATCGATAAATCGATATTATATTTTTAATATAATAAAATAAAACATTTTTCCCCATAACTCTGTTGTCAGATTAACTAGGACAGTGTTGTCGCTCTTTGTGAAATGTGACTGGAGTGTGTTGAGCTGCTAGCTTCTAATAAAGATGGATTGCATTCAAGAATGGCAAGCTTCTATAATGTTAGCTGGCTTGCTTGCATTGCTTGGGGAGCATTTATAGCAAGGAAGACTGCAGGGAAAGTCAGATAAAGACATGGTGAACCAGCTAAATTACACTTGTCTTAGTCTTTATAATCCTCATTTTTCAGCTCTAAAAACCGGTTAAAATGTGTAAATGTAGCTAAAGCCTTTGCTAGTGAGAATCAGTAGGCAGTCAGCTAAAAACCCAGGAAAATCTGTGCAGTGGACTATTTCACATATGACATCGATCATTTTTTACTCCTGTAAGTAATTACAGTATTATTCAGCCTCAAAATATGAGCTATGATCAGACCTGATCTGATTAGCTTAGCCGTGATGCTCAATGGCTTAATTATCATAGAAAGGTTTCTATGATGACTTTCTACAGCATTGCTAAAGCATTGCTTCTACAGTTAGATCAGAAAAAAATGAACTATTAATGATAGTTCACACAAAATTCATAGAACGGGACTGGGAATGAGCGCACATACTTTCTAAGCCGCTTATCCTTCCGGGTCACGAGGGTAGCTGGAGCCTATTCCAGCGGCCATTAGGCAGAAGGCAGGAAACACCCTGGACAGGTCGCCAGCCCGTCGCAGGACGGACATACACATTCACACACTCACACCTAGGGGCATGTCCAGTTGTCCTGACTGCATATCTTTGGACTGTGTGAGGAAACCCACACAGACACAGGGAGAACATGCAAACTCCACACAGAAAGGACCCTGGTCGCCCGGCCGGGGAATCGAACCCAGGCCCTTCTTGATGTGAGGCACCCACTGCATTTTCATCAAGAGCATCCTGATTCAAAGGTACACAGCACTGTGAAAAAGTCAAAGAACAGCCTTCATTTATTTACTTTCCAGTCAAATTGCTCATAAGTATAACACTCATAAGATTTCCCAGGAAATTATTTTGAGGAGATTAGATATATGATAACCATTCCGCTTGTATAAGGAATTGGGAAAGGTGGGAAACCACGTTGACCAAAAAGGATGGGTTCCCCTTTTGAGTTTCGGTTCCTCTCTTAGGGAGTTTTTTCCTTGCCACTGTCGCCCTTGGCTTGCTCATGGGGGCTCAGACCTTTTTTTTTTGTAAAGCTGCTTTGCGATAATGCCTGCTGTAAAAAGCGCTATATGAATACACCATGACTTGCCTTAAAGGACAAAGAAAATAAAGATATGGAGAAACTGGTAGACACCAACACTGTCACCATCAGTTAAGCACTACTTAAAGCTTTCATCTCTGAGAGAGAGGAGAAAATCAAGCAGCTTCAGATCTGAAAACATCCACAGGTGTTTCTGTCCATCCTTCCACTGTGAGAAGACGACTCAGCGCTATGGATCTGAAAGGATGTGTAGCTGCCAGGAAGCCATTACTGAGAAATAGACAAAGACAATCTGCAATCCAAACAAAGAAGCTAGGTGTTTTCAGAATGGTGGACTGGCCAGCCTGGAGTCCAGAACTCAGCATCACTGAATGTGTTTGGGATTGCTTGGATAGTGAGAAGCAGAAAATGCAACCAACTTCTAAGACCGAACTTTGGAGGTGTGGGAAAAATATGCTGGCAGATTTCTTTGAAAACTTAAAGTGAGTCCCCCGAAAAGAAGGCCAAAGATGGACACACTGAATACTGAAAACGTTGACAGATTTGATATCATACTCAGTATTGGAGGCTTCTGGGTAATATTCTGTTTAATATATGTTGTTGTTTTTGAAATGAATAGCTTAACTGCCATTTGACTGGAAATTATATGGTCTCTGACTTTTACGAAGTACTGTGTACTGTAGACTCTCCAAAAAAAGGTAGTAAACTGTCACTGGGGTGGTCCCCTCAAGGGTACGTCTTCAGTATCTTTAGTTAGAGGACACCCCGTCTCGTCTCCAGGCTTTTTACTTTATTGTTCTGTTTTGAAACATTAGGTTACGAACAGGTACAATTATGTACATTTCCAGCAATAAAATGTACTTAAGGTACTCAGTTAGACCTTAAAACCATTGTTGTACCTTTGATGGTACACTTACATTGTTTATACCTTGATGGATGAAAAACTGACAGTGTGTTTGGATGTTCGTGGTAAAGTCTGACTTTGCTGAATCCAGAGTACGTTTACATGCTTCATATCTGCTTTATTTGCAATACAGTTTCAAGATTTTGTCTTCGATTTCACAGAAGCTTGTACTCCTCACCTTTATTTGTCATATTTAATCTTTCTCTTTCAGTTACACAGCTGAACCCACTTAAAAGTAGTTGAAGGCGGCTTTGTTTTTTGTTCCAGGGTTGCACTGCAGGTACTGATGGAACAGATTAGCCGTAAATGAAACCTAAGACCTTTTTCATCGGTCACTTATCAGGATCAGAGATAACGAGACTAATCACTGTTAGATGCTCACGTGACATTCAGGCAATGATGTGTGTGTACATAAGGAATCGCCTCAAATGGATGTACTGAAACATCGGAGAAAGATAAAGAGAAATAAAATGATTCCAGGACACAAAGTCATTCATAGGATTTTTATGGTCACCAAATAAAAAAACATACAAGATTTGCAAACAAAACGTCTCTCTCTCTCTCTCTCCCTCTCTCTACAGCAGATAACAATACAGAAAGTAATAAACACTCTTATCATGAAGTAACATCTTCTCAGTCCCATTAGCTCAGGTTCTGCATTAGAACCTCTAGATTTTTGCAGTGTTGGCATTTCAATTGACCTCTACATGCTCGTCTCACGAAAGTGTTCTTTTGCAGCATTGTTTGTGGTTGAAGCTACACAGGACATTGTCAAAAATCCCATTCGGCCTGTTGAGAAACCGTCGGAGCCACATTTCCCATTTAAAGAAGAATTTCTGCACAATTCAGTCGCTCAGATGTACAGTGCTGTGGAAAAGTATTCCCAGTATTCCTTCCCAATTTCATCCCAATTTTTCGCATATTTGTCACACCTGAATGTTTCAGATCATCGAACTACTTTTAATATTAGACAAAAATAACCCACCTAAGCACAAACCCTAGACAATGTTTTGAAGCACACAAAAAAGTCCACCTCTGAATGGCTCAAAAGAAACAAAATTAAGGCTCTGGAGTGACTAAATCCAAGTCTGATTTGAATCCCATCAAGATGCTGTGGCGAGACCTTAAACAGGCAGTTCATGCTCGAAAACCTTCCAGTGTAGCTGACACAAGACAATTCTGCAAAGAAGTGGGCCAAAACTTCTCCATATCAATGCAAAAGACTCATCACAAGTTATCGCAAACAAGTGACTACAGTTGTTACTGCCAAGGGTGGTTCAGGGGGGCAGTTACTTTTTCACATGGGTGGTGGTAAACGTTTTGAATAAATCTCTATCTTCAGTAAATGCAGTGATCACTTAAAACCTGCATTTTGTATTTACTTATGTTGTCTTTATCTTGTATTAAAATTAGATGATTTGAAACATTTAAATGCAACAAATTTGCAAAAACAGAAGAAATTGAAAAAGGGGCAAAAACTTTTACACAGCACTGTAAATAAAGTCTCAGGCATCAGGCAGTGAACTCATAACCATGTGACATGTAATAACTTTCTGTGAGGGAACTTTTAGAGACATTAAACTCTTCCGATGTCTGGTTCCTATCACCACCACTGTGAACGATTCTGGCTCGGTTTCTTTAAAACAGAGCATTTCACACCAAACCCCTGTAAATGACTTTGGTGACATCTTAACTACAGAATTCAGCAGAAATTTTGAAAAAACTGTGGAATTTCCCTTTAAAGTCTGTATAGTTCTGTTAGTTTATTAGTAAAGAAAAGAGTGTTAAGAATCAGTAAGTAAATCTATAAGTAAACATACAAGCCTTCGTACCGCACGTGACGCATTCAAAAGTATATAATACAAAAATATGAATTCAGCCAAAAGTCATATAAACAGTGTAACACGTAAAAAATAAATTCTCTATATATGATTATATGCATGAAGCGTTTTGTTGAAAAACGCATTATAGCCATTTTCATTTTTTTCCATAAAAAAGTTTATAAAGAGTTTGGGCCTTACACAACCTTAATACAACTATTATTCAAGATTTGTTTTCATTAATATCATTAAACTATATTTATATAGCCTTGGATTTATAGCACTATATAAATTAAACTTACTATTCCTGTAAATGTACAAATTTCAACACATTTTATAGAGATACAGATACTCAGTTGTATTAAAAAGTTTGAGCACCCCTTGTCGAATTACGTGTTTTGTTGAATATCTAAGGGAAAACTACAGAGAACACATCTCTGCACATGTTAATGCTCAATTACTGTTTGTTTGCTGAATTTAACATATTGGAAAAGCATAAAACGACAGCTGCATAAACATAAAACCCCAACACATTAAATTTGACCAATAATTGGAAAATGGGCAGTAAAATTAGCAAAAAATCTAAGTTTGTTCTCAGTAGAGGATGTGTTAACTTATTGTCATTTAGAAAATCAAGAGTAATTTGATCAGATGTGTTAAAGCTTTTGCATATGATTGATTTTTTTTTTGCCATTTTTTTTTTTAAATCAATCTACTTTTGGCATGGTTTCAAACTGGACCATCACTGAACCTGTTAAAACCTAATGCCTGTTCTGTCAGTGTGCGCACACAGACTCCTGATCATTGGTCAGGAAATCCAATTGTGTACGACTGTGTTCAGTCTACGTACAGCACTGTTTGTATTAGCAGGCTTGAATAGTAATGTCCATAGCGCTTAGACATCTGTCCGTTGTTTGTGAGGGCCTCGCGTGGAATCAGTGATTCAGTATAATGATATCATCAAAGTGAGAGTTACTGTCGGAGCGACATCCTCCTCGGGTCCTCATGCTTTGCAGTTCGCTCTGACATTCATGTAGACCTTATCAGCTGCGGAAGGACACACATGCATGCAAATGTCATGGTCAATTCTGGAAAAAGGAATTAGGTTAAATGGCAACCAACTTAAAAAGGCATTTACCGTTTTCCTTCTGCTGTCTACGCTTGCTTGCACAGCAATACGTGACACCGACGATGAAAATCGTGAGTGCGATGTCACCGAGAACCACGCCTGCCAAGGTAGCCGGTGCTATCCGGTAGCAGGAGCTGCTTTCTGGCAAGAGGAAAAACAATCACAATGGTTCTGTTCAATTATGGTTGTTAAGAATGTGAATCAGTGCATCAGGACGTCTTAGATTTCATTATGATTTGATTGAGTTTGATTTTGCTATTTCGGTTCAATTCAGAATTCTTTTTAAAATAGTGGACAAGTAATATAAACACTACACATTATTTGGACAAAAGTATGTGGACAACTGACCATCCCATTCAAAAACTAGGGGCAATAATACAGAAAAACAGCCCCAGCTCATTATCCCTCCTCCACCAAACTTACACGATCCAGCCAATGCTTGGCATCGCATATAGCAATCTTAGGCTTGTGTGCAGCTGCTCAGCCTTTGAAACCTATTTTATGACCTATTTTATAGATGCTTCCATTTCACAATGATAGCACTTGCAGTTGACCGAGGCACAAATTTTACAAACTGATTTGTGGCAAAGGTGTCGACTTATGACACCGCCATGTTTAATGTTAGCAAGATCTTCAGTACGCCCCATTCTATTACCAATGTCTAAGCATGGCTATTGCATGGTTTGATGTTATGCACCTGTCAGCAGTGTGTGGTTGATACACCTAAACTCAATAATTAGTAAGGGTGTCCACATACTTTTGGCCATATAGTGTATTTCTTGGATGTTACACATTGAAAAATAGCATGAGAATTTTATTTTGGCTTAAAATGGGTGCATTTCAGTATAGGGGGCCCATAATGCAATTGTAGTGCCCTTGTAAAGCCTAATCATGCCATAACTGGTGAATAACTAGCAACTAGCAATACTACCAATTTGAGTAAATCAAGCACTTTCCAGACTTTTTTTTGACTACTACTTTAAATCATAACCTTTTGCACAACATTACGAAGTGCATATTGAAGTACTAAGACAATATGGTGAGATTTCATCATCATCATCTCAGCTCATATGTAATGTTTAAAAGGTTAGATATTGACTGGGAGCGCTGTTATTAAATATACTTGTATGCTTACATAACAGCATGGTACATGTTAGCTGGGTCATTCTACAGAAACGTCCATTTTTGTGTCCCTAGCGTTTACAGTTATGTTACACTTGAAAAACATGTTAGGGTTACAATTTATTTACATTTTAAAATAAAACAAGTTATTTTAACAATTACACCTTCTTGAGCCTCAATTTAGCAATATTGGTTTGTAAATCAATTATATAGAATTCCAAACACCACAGAAGAGCTCGTCCTCACAGTCAGAGTGAGGCCATATTTTGAAGCAAAAAACATTCTACAATTTTAACTGCAATAAATATAAATGACTATTAATTAAAGGACATAAAGAAACAAATCCCAAATAAATATTATAAAATATATAATGAAAGTTGTGGTCCCCAGGAGTCGTGTCACTGGTGTTACTGCGTAACAAACAATCTCTTATTTTGAAATAAAAGTCACACTGATGACGTCACTTGACTTCCTTTTACCTATTTTCTGAGGATCTATGAAGAAAAGCACATGGTGAGTCCACTGTGTCTTTCAGTTATCAGAGAGTTTCTCATTTAGCTCATGATTTCATATGAAGCTTTTAGCTGAAGTCACTGGTGTGACCGACTTTATTCTTAGGTAATTGTGAAAAAATAGAATACAAATGGATTAAATTCCATATTTCAGTGGATATTCCATGATTGACAACATGTGTTTTGATGCTCTGTAGGAGCCATTTTGTAAAAAGCATTTTTCATTTAAACTGTCTCTGGTGTTACCTTTCTTATGTGTAACACCAATGACGATCAGTAACACCAGTGACTCCTATGAATAGATAAAGAAGTGGACATTTCTGTAGAATGACCCAGCTACAAATCTAAATCTTTACTTTAGAATTAAGAATCTTTGCATTTATTAACAGATAGTGATAATTTGCTATCGAGATATTGATAAGAATTAAAAGAAAACATGAAACTAGTGCCTTAAGACAGTCAAGTTGAATTAAACTGAGTGTTAACTCGTACCAAGGCCATCGGCAACAAAACACTGGAACTGTGCTTTTTCCATTGGCCATCAGTCCAGTACCGAAGGGTCTAGTTTTATAGTTTTCCATACTTTATGAAGAACAGGACCTAAGCATACTGGAGGGGGCTTTGCTTTGTGTTTGCTACACTTGCAGTTGTAACCAATAACAATTTAGCAAATTCTTTATTCTTCCAGTAAGGATAAAGTCACCAAGCACTATTAAATGACCAATAAGTAGGTCAGAATGGTAGACTGATGTGTTGATTGCAATTATTGCCTTGTAAAGAGTTCCATAAAGTGGCATAAGCTAGTTAGGAAACGAATAATAACGCTATGAGCATTTATGCTAGGCCCCATGAATATGACCTCTACACATGATTTTGTGCACTATTGGTGCAGTATGTGATTTCATGGAAGTACAACCTTGTAGCCAACAAGTTCTGCTACTAGCAAGCAAAGTAGCTAATCAGCCAGATTAGATGTTTTGTACAATTACAGTGGTATAAATGGCCAAAAACATTACATTGTCAATTGTGGTGAGTCTGATGGTTCTGTAAAGCAGGTGAAAACTGAACAGAACTACACATGAATGTTCTGCTGGTTCGCATTTGGCTAAGTTCATGTTTCTGAATTTAAAGTATTCATTTTAAAATACGGGGTCAGTTCGCCTATTTAGGGCTAATCTGTGATTTACTGTTGAAGACATCCTAAGAATGTAAAGAAAATTAACTTATTTCAAATAAACCCAATGCCTGGGTAAGGGTTATGTATGAAAATGATGTAAGATACACAAATAAAACTGCTCAAATAAAAATTCATCACCATGGCTTAACAAGGTAGAAATGGGCAGATAATTCATTGCCAACTACGGGCTTGTCAAAGCTTAATAAGAGCATTAAAGAACAGTACAATGGGCCCCCATACCCCAAAATCTTCTTGATTTTGTTGGTGTCTAGTAACTGCATGGACCTACCTGTTTCTTCTGCACTGGTCATGGCTTATGATGGAAAATGAGAGAAGATAAGGGAAAAAGAGGGAACAATGAGATTCAGTCTCAATACTCAAGACAACAAAACTGACCATCAGAACCCCCCAAACCTATTGTAAATGTATCTGTAGTAGCACTGATATAAATGTCAATATACAGTTATATGGAAAATTTGGGCAGCCCTGGCTGGTTGATTTGCGAAGATGAAAACAACACAATGTTTGCATCATTTTCCTGCAAATGTTAATGCACAGTTATTGATATTTGATATTGCATCATATCACACCCACACTTCCTTGCACAACACTTCTAGTTCTGTGATATCCTTGTGCTGTCTTGCATACACAGCATCTGACAACAGATTTTATATGATGTTCAAGTTATGAGACTGTGAGACATTTCAAAAGCTTAGGTGTTTCTAGAAGTAGTGCTTGGTGGATTTTGAGGTATGTTTTGGATCATTGTCTCTTGTAGAAGCCAGCCTCGTTTCAGCTTCAGTTTCTTCACTGTGTCACATCTGCTTGCAGAATTTGCTAATAGTCAGTGGAATCTATTCTTCCATCTACCTGTGCTACTGGCTGCCACACCACCCTAAAGCATTACAGGTCAACCTTTATGCTTAACAGTCAGCAAGGCATTCTTTTCATCAAATGCGGCTCCTTTTTACTCCAAACATGGTGATTGTGACCAGAGTGGTCCATTTTTTTACTTTTAACATTCTCACATTCTCAACAACATTAATTTCCAAAATACCTCTGGCTTATTTAGATATTTGATTATTGTGATGAGATTGCAAGTAAGGTTTTCTTCTGATGACTCTTTCATGTTAGCAGTGTTACATAGTGGAACAGTGCAGCACCACTCCAGTTTCAGCTAAACCTTCCTCCTTATCCTTTGCTGTCATATGGGGGTTTTGCTTTGCCTTTTTGGCCAGCATACAAGCAATTCTATCTAAGATATCTTACCTTGACCTCCACAATTACCCTTACCTGCAATTTCTTAATGACATTTCAGGCAGTGGAAATCACAAGCTTTTTGATGTCTTTTTATAGCCTTTCAGTGCATTGTAGGGATCAATTAGCTTCAGATCTTCAGAAAGGTGCTTAGAGAAGCCCATTGTTATTGAATGTTAGCACAAGGTTTGAAGATTCAGAGAATTCATTATGCTCTGTTATCAGCTGACAGTTCCTTATGACAATTCTTGACCTGCCTTACCATTCCGAACCAGTCAATTAAGGCCTAACCAGTTAATTAAGTTTGAGACCTTACGATTAGAATCATGTCCCAACTTTTGCATATGATTACTTTTTCTTTTTTTATATTTTGAAGTCCATTTATTTTTTAATCAAATACAAAGTAACTGTGCATTAACATTTGCTGATTTAAAAAACAAACAAACATGTAACTGTATTGATATGTATTGTCAATGGTAGTTACTTTTTTATAGTACAATCTAGTGACCAACTGTAATGCTGCTGCCCAATTGCTTACATCATGAACAATAAAAAAGTGCTATGTAAACACAATTTTTTCCCTTGAAAAGGGTCCCTTGTTGGCTGGGTGGAGCAAAAAAATGTATATATGCTCGTATCCAATTGGTGCAACCATAAGAGTTGGCCCCATTGTCAAATCACTACTGTCAGAAGTGCTTATACTGTGCTTGAATACTCAAAATAAATAACATGAGGCAAACATTTTTAAATGATACAGGCTTTGAGGAGGCTATGACAGATATATTCATGTGGAAAATTGCAATTTTGCAGTGCTGGTAACTTAGATCCAGGATTCCCTGATATTACTACCTATGCACTTATTCAAAAGAGTATTACATTACAGGAGCACTTCAGAGACTATCAGCATAATCTCTATCTGGTGCATCTGTATTTTGCTGTTGGTTACCATGGTTGATCATTTCAATACATTACCCAGTATTTAGAAAATAACAGGAAACCTGTTGACTCAAAACACACTTATAATAAAAGCCAAAGGGTGGTTGCTGATTTCTTTGAATAAACATATGTGTGAAATATGGGATTCTATACAAAGCACATTTGAAACTACAATGAGAAAACGGTTCACCAAAGCTGTTCTTATGAAGTCTTATTTTTAAACAATGGGGAAACACAGTCAAAAAGTAGTTCTGGTTCTTTTTGCTTTCCTTAAGTTTTTGTGATGTCCATGCATGTTGTGGAAACCCCCACCTACACCACTACACCGGTAACATATCACCACAAATTCTTCCCTCTGGTAAACTAGTCTAATGTCTAAAAGAAAAAAAACTAAGCACAAGTTCAGCTTCATTCACAAATACATTTGACCAATGAAATTATTAGTGTTCCACAAAACTGTTTTTTACTGACAGAATTTAGCAGCAGCTTTGATTCAAGTCAACAGTGTTTCTGTTCTTTTCTCCCTAATGACGCTTCTGCTTTTGAGTCAGTAGAGTTTCTGTTCTTGTCTATCTAGACAGGCATCTGCTTTGAGTCAATAGAGTTTCTGTCCTATTCTGTCCACAGAAAAACGCCTCAATATTACCATTTGCGGTAATCGACTGATGTATTATTCTTTGTAAAACATTCACTGCGCTTGAGTTAATGTTCTGCTTGACCATCAACCAGAACAACGTACTGGATGAAATAGGAATTAGATGGATTGACGGCTAAGAGTCATGACCATTGTAATGTCCTCATTTTACTGAATCTCTAATAAAGATTTCGAAAGAGATTTTCCACCGTGCATGGGGTAACTGAAATGTTTGTTTTTGCTTCAGCTCTCTTTAGCCCAATTTTTCTGTTTCAGGAAATCCACCTTCTAACCGTGCTGGTTTCTCTTATATGCTTAAATAGGTCAGAGATCTGTCTAAGGACAAGTGGCAATAAGCAACGCAAGTGTTGTCTGAAAAAAGTGTTCACTTTATTTTTTAAATTATTTTTTCTTGAGGTCAGTTTATGATATTTGTGTGGTTTTATGTAGCAAAAGCAGCCATAATTAATTTTTACATGGCCATTTTCCACCTTCTGTCTTTGCCTTTTCATGTAAATGATCTCTGTTTTGATAGGCTGCCCTGTATTGTGCTTCATTCCAAAAGCACTGCACACTCTTTATAACTTTAACGAATGGACAGGGATAACTGCTGTCCGCTGAACAGGCGGATGTGAAAATGCTTTGGTTTTCGTCACATCGCAATAACAAGGAATACAAAATGGGCTGCTTTTAGAGCTCAGTGTTCATATATGGACTGTATAGACTGGGGAGTGAACAGTATGTGTACAATACGTATACAATTTCAAAGAAAACTCGTTGTTTAGCTGCTTCACCCACAGGCGTCGAGCTTCTGTCTTTGATTTTCTAGAGATGCAGCACTGGTCTGGCTTGCCCAGTTTCCCAAGAGAGTGAGGGAAAGAATGAATTGTCACTCATTTCTCATTGGGCAGAAGACGGGAAGCGCTCGTGACAGTCCGTCAGTCCATCGCAGGGTGGACACACAGATTAGCACACACATTCACACCTAGAGGCAATTTAGAATTGCCCCCACAGAGGAAACCCATGGATACATGAGGAGAACATGCAAACTCCACACAGGACCCTCGAACCCAGGCTCGTCTATGCTGTAAGGCGACGCCGCTACCCTCTGCACCACTGTGCACCTCATTATGGAAGCAATGCTGGTGAAGCCAGCCAACAGGGGACCCCCAGAATACCAGGGGGTATTTTACTGACTACATCACGCTCTTTTATTTAAAAGGTGAGAAGGTTTTTCCACATGAGCCTTTTAACTTTTAATAGGGGAATTCCGATGGGGACATTCACACTTTCAAAATACATATAGTTATATGTTAAAGTTACATGTTAAAATACGTTTTGTTGACTTTCTAAGTGAAAATAAGTCAACATTCTCTACAGGGAACACATTCGTTTTTAGGTTGAGTTTAACATATTGGGAAAAATACAACATAAAATATAAAATGTGCCATAAACATTTGCACAGGCCACATTTTATGCTTTTTTCTTCCCAGTACATTAAAATCATACAGAAACTGAACTTGTGTATCAGCATGTGCTGAAGTGCGATCTCTGTAGAGAAGGTGTTAACCTATCTACACTTTAAAAAACAACAAAACGTGTCATTTGACCAGAGGCACCCCAACTTTTGCACACAACCGTGCATAAGTTTGCTCAAACACTTCACTTCAGCCTTTCCACTCATGACACTCATGACACTCATGACACTCATGAAACGGAATCATTTACTTTGCTGCTTCAAGAGCAGAAAACAAGAATGAACAGGAAATCAACAAACCCACCAAACATAGCTGCGGTGGTCTTGCTTAGTACAAGAGTGTAGGGAAAGAATGAAGTGTGAAAGAGAGAGTGAAAAAAAACACACTTACCTATGAGAGGAAGGAAAAGAAGCATCAGCAGAATGTTATCTGCCATTTCCGTGCAAGCTGTTGAGCCTTTGTTTACCTAAGAAACCAGATGGGAGCCAGTCTCACTGTCTAGCTTAAAGAACCAATGTCTCAGAGTCCAAAAACAAGGCTTTATTCCAGAGAAACCTCTAAAAAACATCACTGTACACACATAAAAAAGATGGTTCCTCAAGGATTCTTTGGTAAAGGCAATGGTTCTATTTAGAACCATGAATTATATGTAGAATCATTTCATGTTTAAATGCTTTCTTTCTATTGTTACGATGTCAAGCTTGTAACAATAGAAGAACTTTTTGGTGCTATATAGAACCATTTCCAAAAAAGAGAACCATGGAAAGAAGCTTTTAAGCACAGAATGGTTCTATATAGACCTCAGGGCTCTAAAGAACCCTTGAAGAACCTTTTTTACATGTGTAGGCCTTCTGGAAGTCCTGGCCACGTCAATGACTGTGAATACGAACAGCAGCAGCCTAATCAGTGGGTTGTTAGAAATGGAAAACAGTGGTGGCGGCTCTATACCAGAGCTCACTACTGAAAGTCACTGTGAAACTGCTACAAGATAAAATATCGCTTCTAGGAACAAACAAAATCTCTTATCTCCATTTTTATCATTTTTCAGTTTTTGACACGATTTGAAAATGACTATTCTCCTTTACACTGTGTGAAAACTTCATGAAGAATGGACCAAGACAAATGGAACAAAATGACTGGGAAAAAAGTCTGGTTCCATTGAATTACATTAAAAGGAAAGTATGTTTTTTCCTTCTCCTGTAAAGTTACCATTTTTGAGAGGTTTTGATCCGACAGCAGCAATATATACTAATATGTCCGTCACAAGCTTCAAGTAAAACATGGAATGTCTTTTAGAGGCTCCAAATGTCTGTTTAATCTAGAACTACCTTTTTCAAATTTACTGTTCCACCTCAAATGGTGAAGCAGTTGCAAAGCAGTGCCTCAAAGCGCCAGAATGTAACTGCACCCTTAAGGTGGAATAGGAAATTTGAATAAGAAGCTAACTTAAGCATGGAAAGTGTCGAAGCAAATCGCCATTAGCTTTGTGCTAAAAACTACCAGTATAGGGACGCTAACAAAGTTCAAGTGTTTTTTTTTTTATATTTATGGCCCAAACTGAAGGATTAGCTACAATAGTCACGGTTTTCGCAATATTACCACTTGCAATACTAGTAACTCAGAAGGTTGCGATATGCAAATGAGCCCTCTACCCAATAACAGTCTTTGATATTGTGTGAACATCTTGATCAATCACAGTTTCAGATGTGTTTCTGTGGGTTTTCTGATGAATCGATATGTTCATGAAGACCAAAAACGTGAGAATGGTGGTGGTTTTCGATCCCAATGGGCCTCATTCCCCAATATCTTATAAACAAATCCCTGCTGTCGGAAGAAAACCTCGTACCTCTGTCTTTGTCGTAATTTTAGCACTATAAAGTTTGGTCAGTAGGGCCACCAGAGCACTGACTACTCAATCTCGAACTCCACCAAAAAGCATAGCCGTTGACTCACAAGCTAAAATGCTGTTGTTTTATTGGCTACCAACCAAAACATCTGCTTGAATTAGGTGCTTAATGTGAATGATATGTAAATGAGGTACTGGTTAGCTCATCCTGAAGCTGCTCAAATCTCTGCTCGTTTTCATGTTGTTTCACGACCAATAAAAAGTCAAATTTGCACTGAAACTGAAAAACTGCATCTGACAGAAATCAGAAATGACAGAAATCATCACACCTTCATCTAAATGTTTCTCTAGAATGAAGCATTTCACACTGAACCACTTTGAAAAACTTTGTTTGCATCTTTATCATTTAAATATGCACATATTTTTTGAAAAATCAGTGGACTTTCTCTTTAAAAGTGGAACCTGCCCTTATCTGGGCCACACTGGACCGCACAGTTACTATGCAACAAAATGTTATATGTGTATCTTGGTCACAATACTAGTGTTGTATCTATTTCGTGTCTGCAAATGAAGCGAAGATACAGTTGCTTGATAAATTCCTGCAGGTGAAAACCCCTTAACACTCACTCTGATTGTTTGGGTTCTACTATTAAGATGTCAAATTGTGACATTTTCTATCTTCAAGTGGGCGAAACTGGAATGTTTTCACAGCAAAATAAGATAAGTTTAAAAAGATAAAGACTGTTTGATCTACATCATACTCTTGTTTCTTGTTTGTAGTGTTTTTTGTTTGGGTCAGTACAGTTTACTGCATGGTCCAAACTATCAGATGAGCCAGAAGGCTACGGGTTCTTCTCATCTTCCCACCTGCTAAAACGGACACAAAGCTAATAAAGAATCACCTCGGACGCCACCTGCCATGTCCAAACTAGCATCTAAACAGCAATTTAACAATTACACCTTCTTGAGCCTCAATTTAACAATATTGTTTTTTAAATCAATTATATAGAATTCCAAGCACCACAGAAGAGCTCGTCCTCACAGTCATGTGTAAAGGGTGAGGCCATATTTTGAAGTAAAAAAAAATGTTTTTCTGCAATTTTAATTGCAATAATCCATACATGACTATGAAAGAACATAAAGAAAACAAATACATTTTATAAAATATATAATGAAAGTTGTTGTCCCCAGGAGTCGTGTCTCTGGTGTTATTGCGTAACAAAAAATCTCTGAAGATCTATGAAGAAAAGCTCATGGTGAGTCCACTGTGTCTTTTCAGTTATCAGAGATTTTCTCATTTAGCTCATGATTTCATAAGAAGCTTTCAGCTGAAGTCACTGGTGTGACCGACTTTATTCTTAGGTAACTGTGAAAAAATAGAATACAAATGGATTAAATTCCATATTTTAGTGGATATCCCCTGATTGACAACATGCGGCTTGATGCTCTGTAGCAGCCATTTAGTAAAATGCATTGTTCATTAAAAATGTCTCTGGTGTTACCTTTCTTATGTGTAACACCAATGACGATCAGTATCACCAGTGACTCCTATGGACAGATAAAAAGTGGACGTTTCTGTAGAACGACCCATGGTTTTTCCTCCCAATATGTTAAACTAACATAAACAGACTTTGTGCGCCAAAATTTGCAGAAAAAAATGTCACATTTAAGTCGGTTCCCTGTGGAGGATGTGTTACTTACTTATTTTCACTTAGAACAGGGGTGTCCAATCTTATGTGCAGGTAAGCATTCCAACAAAGCAGGAGCTCACATTATCAACACAGAGGCTTCTGTGAGAAGCAGAATCAAGTGTGGCACCGCTTGTTTGGAATGAAACCCTGCAGCCACACCAGCCTTTAGTGGATAAGGATTGATACCCTTGACTATCAACAAAGCATGAAATCTGATCAGTGATCAAGCTTTTCCATGTGACTTGTACATACATACATGCGTTCTCCCATAATATGTTATATTCCCTGCAGGCCTTTATTCTGTATATCCTCTGTTATAAGAAGCACTATGACAAAAACTCACAGGATAGAAAATGGTACGGTTTTCAGCCATGTTGGTCTATATCTTTAATACCGCTGATGCTTGTCCATTTATTCTTCACACAGATTCCTTTAAAGTACCTCACACGCCTAGAACTACTGTACCCATCAGAATAAAAGAGAATTCAGCACTGGTTACTGCAGACATTGCCCCAAAACAGTGATGATCAAGCTTAGTTGAAAGTTTCAGGGAACAGTCTCTTCAGAGAAAGAGGAAGAAACACTGAGCAGAACTAAGAAGTGGAATGAGGAATTTTGGAGATGTAAACAAAGTGAATCAGGGTGGTTTGATGTGAAATGGCTCCCTGCATAGAAACTGACCGAGATTCTTTACTGTGGTGGTGAGAGGAACCAGTGGTTTGCGATGTCTGCAACATAGGGCTTGCGATGTCTACAACACGGTGGTTGTGATGTCTGCAAGACAAACGTGGCCATTTTATTTATTATCCAAAACCACAAGTGAACCTACATATTTCATCTGAGTTCATTGCTGATGACGGTAAAATAACGGTGACGGATTTCTTCGGGGGCTATTTTACCTGACAACACCCTGCATGTACCTCTCCACCTTTAAAAATCTGGTTTAAACAATGTCTCAGACATCAGGCACCGTATTAGTAACCATTTTCTGTAATGAACAGCTGAAAGCATGGTAGCTTTTTAGACGTCTGGTTCCTATCACCACCACTGTGAACCCATTCTGACTGTGTACGTAGCTTTTCACACTGAACCGCTCTGAAAGACTTTGTTTACATCTTAACCATTGAAATATGACTTGTATGACTTTCTCTTTAAAAGTGGAACCTGTCCTCGTCTGGGCTACACTGGACAGCACAGTTACTATTCAAGCAGGACAAACATATAGAAGAAACATCAAGCCAATGATAAATGTTTGAAATCAGTCAGAAATAATCAACATCACTACATATATATAAATGTGCATATGAACAGAAAGTTTGTAACAATTACTACTAACTTGCTAAATGGGTGCCGGCCTCCTCTGGTGGACACCGGTCAGTGGAATTATGATACAAGTAGTGCTATTAATTAGTAACAAGGGATCTAGTGAGTGTAATGATAGCAAGTTGCCTACCTTAACCTCGTCTGATGAACAGTCCACTTTTCACTGCAGTCCAGGCTCACCGAGAGAGGCAAAGACAGGCTCCCAAGTCTGAGCTGTTTACACGTGCAAAAGAATAAGCACCCACACACTCGCTTTAGAGTGTAACAATGTGAAATGCTGCCGCTTACCTCAAAGAAGAATCTCTGTTTGCTCGCTGTGTGGTTAGCAAGATGAGAAAATGAGTGTTTTTTTTCCGTTTTCCACAGAACACCACAAAACCTCGTTTTTTATCAGTTAAGTGGGTGGTCCTATTGTGTGGAACAAAGCTCATGTCAAAGAACACAAAGGAACCACTTCCTAACACTTAAAGCATCTTTAAAAACACAATCTGGGTTGCCAGACAATATAAAAAAAGAGCCAAAAGTCAACCGCAATACTATGTACACATTCAGTACTAAACAATACAGCATTTTAACCAGTGTTAAATCACTTACATACGGCTGAGTATGTTAAAGAGGAATTCCACCTATTTTTCTAAATTTCTCATCAGTCATTCAGAGCGGTTTGATGTAAAACGGTTCATTTTGAAACTTACAGACTCAGATCTCTTTTCAGTGGAACTCAGAGCCATTTGTAGCCATTTTACTTATATATCCAAAACCACCAGTGAACATACACATGCCTTCGGAGTTTTTAGATGTATTTGTTGAGGTAAAATAATCATAAATCTGGGATAATAGGTTTTTTTCTCGAGGACTAATTTGCCTTACAACACCCTGCATCCTCCACGAGTAGATTGAAATAGATTTTAAGCCAAAACTTTATCACAAAACGATCATAAAACAATGTGTCAGACATCAGGCAGCTTATATAGAACAACTTCAGATTTAGAGGCATTACACAACTTCAGACGTCTGGTTTCTATCACCACCACTGCACAACAGTTCTGACTCAGTGAGTTTCTCTAGAATGGAGCATTTCACACCAAACCACTGCAAATGACTTTGTTTACATCTTAACTATTTAACTGTGTAGTATTTTTGAAAAATCAGTGGAGCTTTCTTTTAACTGCTCCTTGAAAAAATTTAGAGGACCATTAAAGCGTTTAAATGTTCCATTGACTTACATTGAAAGTATGTTTTTTCCTTCTCCTGTAAAGTTACCATTTTGGAGATACAAGGTTCATATATATATATATATATATATATATATATATATATATATATATACATATTTTTGATGTTAATTTCAATGATCCTATCTCCTTAGAATTTAAACAGGCACTTCATGCTGTGCAGTTTCCATATGTGGACACTGTGGACTGCAGTAAAACTTGAACTATCTTAACATTACATCAAACCCTTTTATTTCAAAAAAGGAAAAAAAATCATTAAATCGGCCTTTTGTGTTGGATTAAAACACTTGACATCATTTTCAGACTCCCTGTCAAACATTATCTGAAAAAAGCCTGACAAACAAACTACCATGATTTCAGTCAAATAATAGTGTTTAAATTTGATTTGTATGCATATCTTTTGCTTTTGATGCACACGTTCACTAACGTTTCCAGAGCGTGAACAGTTTTTATTTAAATGTGTTGTATTCATGACCCGTGACCTCATGCAAGCAGAAAGGCAAATACATAATATTGCAAGCAACAAAAGAAGCCTAAATATTTCTAATACACATTTTAAAAACTTGCTTACCTTTATAGGCTACAGTCAGGAACTGTTGTGATTTCCATCCATTTCAGAACTATGTACTGTAATCCCAAGTGAACTGGGTAACACATACTTTCTCTTGCCTTTGAGACTGTGAATGATCCCAGTGGGTGTGGCAATGGCCTCCTCTCAACAGGAGTGAAGAAAATGTTTGTCAGTTAGGGTTTTGATAACTGATTGGATGCGGGGAGAAGTTAGACTTATTCAAATTTCATTTGCTTTATTAAACAAAGCATTTTTGGTTTTTAAAATCCTACAAAATCAGGCCAAACCAGGTCATATTTTGGCTTTCTGACTCACGCTCAAAGCCTCCACACGGTTAATCTTCAGTTTCATACCTCTAATAATGGGACATGGTCCTTCAGCAAAGGAAATGGTTCTAAACACAGCCAGATCATACGTACATGGCTATTTGCATGGTAACATAGTTCTTACAGAACCATATAAATCACATTCCCCATCTGAATCTAAAGAATTTCACCATACAAATAACAATTTAAGAAGGAATTGTTTCTATACAGAACTCATGGTTGTAAATAGAACCATCCCCTTTACTAAAGAACCCTTAAAGAACCATGCTTTTAAGGGTACTGCCGCTTTTCTTTTTGCACCCTTCCGATCATAAAACCAACAAGTGTGTACCCCCCAACCAAAGGGGTCACTAGTGGTTTACATCCAACGGATTTTTGGCAAAAACATCTTAAAACTTCCACAAACCTACACGCTTAAAGATGATTTTCAGGGGTTATATGGTAAAAGCAATGGTTCTATTTACAACCATGAGTTCTATATAGAACCGTCTCATGATTCTTCAGTTTGATGGAGAATGTGTTGTACATGGTTCTACATAGAACCTTTTTGAAAATGGTTCTATATAGCACCAAAAACGGTTCTTCTATTGTTACAAGCTTGGCATTGATACTCCCAGTCAATCTGAAGAACCATTTTACCATACATTAAATACATCTACACATTAAAGCGGGAGTTATTTTATATAGAACACATGGTTCTAAATAGAACCATTCCCTTTACTACAGAACCTTTGAAGGACCATCTTTAAGAGTATACATATTTTTTTTTTTCAAGACAAAAACAAAAACAAACTTGTGCAATGTATTGATGAAATGTGTCTAATCATAAACTGAAAACTGAACTTTATCTTGAATGAGACGAAGATGCATTGTATAAAGTCAATGCAATCTGATTCACTTGAGCAATTCCAGATTGTTTAAGTATATGGTGTGAGGTCCGGACACAAAAGTAACAACAGATATTGTACTTTTACCTTACCTGTGTTGTCCACTCTGATCCAGTTTTTATATAGAGCGCATAATGTAACCGTAAAGTGTGACGTAACAATATTGGAGAAGAAGCAACCGTCTTCGTTCAAGTGAATTAATTCACTCACCAAACTGATTCATTTGCACAGACCGATTTGATCACCACCAAGTAGACCTACATTTCAGCATCACTCGTTACATTAGTTCTCACTGCATGTTATCAGAAGCTTTCCAACAGCTGCACTTGCGGAGATACTTTCCATAACTGGGTAGAATTTTTTTTTTTTTTCCAGTGATCTTTTTAGTATTTACGTAGTCAAGAGATTACTAAGGGGAACTCCAGCGGCTTTTTAAAAATTCGGCACAACTGAACGGTTGAGATGTACACAAAGTAATTCAAAGTGGTTTGGTGTAAAACACTCCATTCTAGAGAAACTGGGAGTCAGAATTGTTCCCAGATGACAGTTTCATGCCTCTGAAAGCTCCCTCACAGAAATATATTACATGAAATGGTTAGATATATGAAGCCTGACATCTGACACACATTTTTAGGCCAGTTTTGTGATCATGGTGGGGCGTTACAAGGCAAAATAGTCCAGAAAAGAAACTTATTTTCTCAGATTTGTGATTGTGACCACATCAACATTTTGCAAAAAAATTCAAAAGGCACCTGTAGGTTGAAGGACAGTAAATTAAACGGCTGTACTCGCGACCCCGGTTCCTATCACCACCTCTGTAAAGATATCAGTCTGTAAGTTTCTTTACGATTAACGATTTCACACCAAACAACTGACTGACACCTCAATCGCTGAATTAGTCAGAAATTTAAAAAAATGGGTTGAACCCCCTTTAAGCTTGTACAGGATGAAAGGGCAGTGTGAGGGGAAAAAATGACATGGCTTATGCGTAAATTGCCCTCTGGTATTTAGATTAAGACCATCAACAGTGAAATGTGTTCCTATGACCTCATTTATTCCCCACAGCTGGCTGCAAGCCTTTATCAGTTAAAGATTTGACTGGTTTAGAGCAACACATACCTGAATTGGCCCCAAAGGCCTATAGATAACAAAATGTTACCTTCCTTTCAGTCACATTAAAAAAATAAATTAACCACACACAGAAACAAAAGGCAAGACATTTCGTATCATTTCCATTTTATTTTATTATATATTTTAGCCTAATTCAGCTGAACTGCACTCGTATGGTGGTAACAATAATAATAAAACATTTACCCTGATAATTCGGACCCGAATGGAATAAACCATGAGACATAAACATGGCTGTAGTGTTACTGTCCAGACTTTTACAGCAGAAGTACACATCTAAATACAGTACATGCATTTCACTGAAATGTCACCTCCTTCCAGGTTAAAACAGGCTCAAATCTGAGTCAAACTAGGGTTGTATCGCAACTGACATCCAAACAACGAACAACGAAGTCACACGTTTTGTGCAGAATGTCCACGATCCCTTTGAACAGCTTTGTACTACACTTACTTGTTGATCTACTGCCTGATTTATTTAACACATACCGCCTTACATAGTCAACACATAAGCTACGTTCACATTACAAGCCTCATTGCTCAAATCTGATTTTTTGCTCTAATCCGATCTCTCCGACACGATGGTTCACACACGTATAGATAAGTGATTCAAATGTCATTAATGTGAACGAACCGGCGTCCTGAAATGACCCGCATGAGCTCATCCTACTCAGTAACGTCTTGTGAATGAATCATGTGCATCATCAGCACAAACTAACGAGCAGAACGAGCTTCACTGTGAAGATAATTAACTCTGATCAGCTCTCAGCTTCATTATCAGAGCGAGGCGAAGGAGAAAAAGATGAGATAAGTTGCTTTTCCACCGTTTACAGGCTTTAAGTTCTGTTCGGCGCTGCTGCCATGGTAACGCTGAATGATGGCACACGCACAGTGGAAAAAAAAAACACATGAATTCCGATCTCAGCGTCACATTAAAGTTGCACAGCCATGAATCGGATTCGTATCTGATCTAGGACCACATATGAAAGTGGCTCAGGTCGGATTTGAAAAGATCAGATTTGCCTGTCCACACAGCCCTGAAAACATCAGATCTGAGTCACATTAGGGCAAAAAATCAGATTTGTGCCACTTCAACTTGGTAATGTGAACGTAGCCTTGGGCAGGTCAAGTGTATTATACAATAATACAGTTTGCATGTTCAGCTTAAAAGTACAAAGGTTTCCACAAAGCAGCGAATCAGGATGGGTGACACATTAATAAGGAATAGTATCTGACTGTGTGATGTGGCACGTATCACTATACGTAACGTATCTGAAAATAAGATCAAAAAGTTGTGCAGTCATCCATTCAGAGGAATGTCAAAGAGCATTTTTCGACACCAAGCAGCTCCCTACCTGTTCCAATCATTAAAGATTACCGGCTCACCATGATTAAGTTCTATTAGCCTAGGTTTAGTCTCTTGGAAGGTGGACTAGCGGGTGGAGAACAACGAGAAACACAGGAAGAATCCAAGATGGAGGAATGCTCCATAGAGTGACAGCTCATGTTTTTTTCTAAAAGAACAATACCACAAATCTCACATTGACAAAGGTTCTCCTTCACCACCTCTGATGCACTACAAGGTGATATCAAGTCAGGTGATCCTTTGTGGCCGTCACAGTCCTCCCACGGTACAGGTTCCTTTTTGAACGGTGAAATGCCAGTTTTAGCTTCTGAAGGACCACTGGTCTCCGTCATTACAGAACCAAGAACACTGCTGTCTATCACTCCGTCAGCACTCACTTCAGCATTTTTCGGTGAGGAGTCACTTTCCTCTAGAGCTGACACTCTTTGTTGTTTGTACTGACCGTCTGGTTCTGTCTTAACTTTCACCAAGCAAAGCGGTGTCTCTGGATCGTGTGATCCGGCTGTGGACAAGCTTGGTAAGCTTGGCTTGGTCTCACCTGTCTCTTTTTTCGGCATGGTGTTCAAGATTTCCAGGCTTGACGGAACTTTTCCTTTCTGCTCATTCGCCAGTGACATGTTTAAGGTCTGCTTTGATTCAACAATAGCCACCACTGTTTTGTTTACCTTTGTCGTTGTGTGTGTGTTAGTTACTGAACCAGACGTGTGCTGATCTAATACTGTCCATCTTATTTTAGAACTGTCTGCACTTGTGAAAGGTATCACAACTTCTGCACCAGGACTAGTTATGCCTTCTAACAGAACTGGTTTGTCCGACTTTGCAACTTGGCTAGTAGCAGCTAAGGGAATGTCAATGACACGTGGAACTGACAGGCGTTTCTCCAACACTGCAGCAGACGGTACAAGGTTCTGTGGATTCTGGATGCCTTCCGAGGCACGAGAAAGGGTTGTCGGCAGAAACATGACAAGAGGTACGTTACCAGGAAGATGTTCTTTATTCAAGATGAGCGTCCATGCACCCTTAGAAGGCTTTGTCTGGTTACTTATCGGAGCAACTGAGTTCAATGGCGCACTTTGTGAGACATCTTTCTGAGGTTCTAGAGTAACAGCTTGGAAGACCTTGTTTTTTGGAGTGATGGCAACGTCCTTCTTCTTTGAAGGGTTGGGGGCTTTAGGCTTCTTTACAGATGCCTGTAAACAACATTGTAAAGAATGTTAGTGTTTTTTTTTCTTTTCAAAGCAATGGTTTGGTCAAAAAAAAATAAAATTTGCAGGCAGTCAACCAAGACGAGTTTGACGTCTTTGGTTCTGCACCTCAGCTAATGTAGCTAACAAGCTTCTAGACATCAGGTTAGCATCAAATGCCTCAAACTATGTTGTTAGGTAATCTCAGACAAACTTATGTGGTTTCTGACGCTGTAGAACAGTGTTATCTACAAAAATGGACAAAAGCACAGTCAGAATTCAGGCTTCAAGATGACGGCTGGGGATGCTTTTAGCCATGTGTCACACTTTTGTTCATTTAAGATGAGTCTATGAGATATTTGTGATAATTCATGCATTTCGTTTGCACAATTCTAACCAAGCAGCTAGGTTCCAGTATGGGTTAGCTGCATTAGCTTCGTAGAAGAAGAAGCCAAACATGTCTTGGCTGATAATAGTTGTTCTAAGAGGGAAAATGTAACTTGTAATTAGTGTAATTGAACTATTACATACAGAGACATTTACAAAAAACAAAAAAAAATCTTATAAGAGTTAGGGTTAACTTTATTTACCTCTGGCGGGCTCACCGACCCACACATCTTAAGGTGGCTGTCATAAGCATGCTGATGAGGGAAGCCCAAGCCACACTCTTTGCAGAGGCATGGACGCTGAGCTGCATGGCCCCCCATGTGCGACATTAGCATGAGCGATGAGCGAAAACCCATTCCACATTCGGCACACTTCATGACTTTCTGATGCGTTCCAGCATGCTTCTTGAGTTCCTCCGCACTGTCAAAGATTTGGCCACACTCCATGCATCGAATATCATTTGTTTTTGCAGGCGAGGCCATCTGATGACCCCAGCAACCAGTATCTTTCTTGTGCTTCTCAAAGTCATCTTGACTTTGGAAGACAACTAGACAAGCTACACACTGGATATGCTCCGGCTTACACTCGTGTTTGTGGTACAGTGACGCCAGGCGGAAGTGCCGCTTGCAGTGCACGCAGGTGTACGGGAGAAGTCCCAGGTGAACAAAGCTGTGGCGCAGTAGGGCGATTTTCTTAGTGAAGGCCTGGCCGCAGTCGGTGCAGATTAAAGCGCTTTTCTTGTGCCACTTGAGGTGGCAAAGCAGAGAGGATCGATGGTGGAAACTGCGGTCACACTGGGGGCATGGATAGCTTCCTACTTCTTGCTTGTGTGCCTGCACATGCTCCTTACACTCGTCCAGGTTGACAAAGATGCGCTTGCAGAAATCACACTGGTAAAACTCTTTCTCAAAGTGGTTGGTATCGAGATGACTCTGCAGTAGCTCCTGTGTTGCGAATCTGGCTCTACATATGAGGCAGTAGAAAGTAGAATGGGACCGCAGATGCGCACGGTAGTTCACTAGGTGGCAGAACTGCTTGCCACATTCAGCACAGCAGTAGGGACGCACACCTGTGTGTACATGCAAATGCTCACGGAGGAGGAACGTTGTGGAAAAGGTGAGAGCACAGACATGGCAGCGATGCTCGTCTGAACCATTCGTGTCTGAAAAGAGAGATGGGACATTATAGTAAATAGGTTATTTCTTTCATTTATTCCAGCTTTAGCAAGGCAGGGTATTTTCAACGTTTTATCGCTACTGTCAAACTTTGCATGCTTAGATGAACTATTAACTCTCAATTATTTTATAAGCATGTCTTTAAGCATGTATGATCTTGACTGTTGCAGTTTTAATGAAATTAAAGTTACAACTTGTAGTGGTTCTAAGTAGGGATGCACAATCGGAATCAGCAATTTTTGTTGCTCCAAACACGCAAACCAGGAGCTGATCAATTCATTCTTTTTATTCTGACCTATCTGTGTTGCAGTTTTATGACACAGGGTGAGCCAGATAAGTGCTAATACTTGTACCAAAATAGCATAATTACGCATGACTATTACTTTTAATGTAGCACTTTCATTCATATTATTTAAAAATGTAATTGTCAATTCACAAAATTAAAACGCCAGCCTGGCCCAACAAAGAGCAAATAATATTAATTATACTATAACTTTAGCTAACAGAAAGTTGAGTTGAGTTCTGGGTTAAAATATGACTACAAACAATAGCCCAAACAACAAAATCCTCCACTGGCCAATTTGGCTGTGAAGAAAATCGAATCGCCATAAACATTCAGCACTTCAGTTCTAAGGGTAATACACCAATCAGGCATAACATTATGACCACCTCTTGTTTCTACGCTCATTGTCCATTTTATCAGCTCCACTTACTATATAGGTGCACTTTGTAGTTCTACAGTTACAGACTGTAGTCCATCTGTTTCTCTGCATACTTTCTTAGCCCCCTTTTACCCTGTTCTTCAGTGGTCAGGACCCCCATGGACCCTCACAGAGCAGGTATTATCCGGGTGGTGGATCATTCTCAGCACTGCAGTAACACTGATGTGGTGGTAGTGTGTTAGTGTGTGTTGTGCTGGTCTGAGTGGATCAGACACAGCAGTGCTGCTGGACTTTTTAAACACTTCAGTGTCACTGCTGGACTAAGAATAGTCCACCAACCAAAAATATCCAGCCAACAGCGTCCTGTGGGCAGTGTCCTGTGACCACTGATGAAGGACTAGAGGATGACCAACACAAACTGTGCAGCAGCAGATGAGCTATCGTCTCTGACTTTACATCTACAAGGTGGACTGACAAGGTAGGAGTGTCTAATAGAGTGGACAGTGAGTGGACAGTGTTTAAAAACTCCAGCAGCACTGCTGTGTCTGATCCACTCAGACCAGCGCAACACACACTAACACACCACCACCACGTCAGTGTCACTGCAGTGCTGAGAATGATCAATAATAATCTGATAAGTCGGAGCTGCAGCTGCACAAGCTGCACAGTTAATATCAAATTCATTTCAGTCTTCTGAAATATGAGGCTCATTTGCTGCAGCTCTCAGTGAAAAAGTGTTCAAATTTATATTAAAATCTCCAGTTTTAACTGTTAATCTGAGCTTTATGGCTGCAGTATGGACTAAATGTGGGTCAGTAAATGAAGCTGCAGGTCTAGTCAAAGAAGACAGGACCTTAAACTTTAGCTAACTTTATTACCACAGTGTTACCACATTACACTGTCATGTTACAGCACTGCTGCCACCATCAGGTGAAAAGACGAACTGCAGCGCCCTGGCTGGAGGACCACTTATAACACACTCTAAAACAGAAGCCAGTGGCCGATTAAAATCTGTCCACTGGCTGCATTTGGCCCTGGGGCTGGACACTGGACACCCCTGGTATATAATATGATGTGTAAACAAAAGGCCACAAATTATGGCCTTCAATTCAGGAGAGGTGTGTATTATACAGCACAAACTGTTGTATTTCTAAATACAACAGCTCTACTTTGTAAAAATATCTAGCAAAACAACAAAAATGCATTTTTTGGGACTATATCTTTAACCACGTCCATAGCAAATGTGGACAGTGTGTACAGTTACACAAACATACCTGAGGAAACATCGTCATCATTATCTTCTGTCAAGTTACTGTCATTATCTTCATTTTCCTCCTCATCATAAACAGCAACGTCAATCTCCCAGTTGCCATCTGTCCTCCTTATATCTCTCTGCTCTTCTGGCATTTTTCTATCCCCATCTTCCTCAACTCCTACGTCATCTTCCTCATCATATTCAGTCCCCTCTCTCGTGTTTGGTCCTATGTGTGGGTCATTTTTCCCTGTAGGCACTGCTACAGAACCTACAGCATTACTCTCAGAGTCTTGATCGCTGGGGGAGCCATCATGGCATTCCTGGCCCACTGAAATGTTTGTTTCCTCATCCACATGGCTTTCCACAGCCGGGGGTGCTGATGGTGCAGCAGTGGCTTCGAGGACTGAGGCAGAGCCATTTGTCTGAGGTGTCTCCTTCTGCTTCAACAGCTGAAAGTCCCAACTTGAAAAGCCCAACTCTGTAAGCTGAATGTCAATTGTTAACTCTGAAGACATGACAGCGTAGTAGCTATGAAAGCAGGAGTTTGTCCGGAAAAGCCTTGTTGTAACTTACACGTTATTTTTTTACATTCCCTTCTCCCTCACAACGTCCCTGAGGTAATCCTGTCTGTTCATAAACGGTGTTTGGTGTTGCTGAGACGAGCTAGCTAACGTTAGCAATAAACAAAACGGTAAACAAAGAGCAGGCAGTAAGAATCATTAGCTGACTCATGGTTAAACGACCGGGTTTAGTAAATTAATAAAATTCACCATTTTACGTTCCGTATGACCACTTTATTACTAAAACAATAAACATGGCAGGAGTGTTTCTGAAAGGAGAACAAGAGAGGTTTGTTTTACCGCGACAGCAAAACAAACCCTCCTTAGTTACCCCAGCTAACTAGTTAGCCTTAGCTAGCAACGGCAGGCTACTCTCTCAACGTGACGTTTGCTAGCTTAGCTACAACCAATATTCGCACAATGTATGCCGCCTGCCGTTCATACGGCGATGTAGGGGTAATGTTATACAACGAGTTGCTTTAAGGAAACACCAAACAACATTAATCAGCTGTCTGTGCCCCGCTGTGCCTTCCACACTGCTGATACAGCCGCCGCCTGTCAGATAACGTTATTTCTCTCTTCCGGCAATTCGCGCCAAACACAGAATGCTCGCTCACATCGATCGGCGCGCGACGTGCAAAAAAAAAAAACCCTCCAACAATTTAACGAGACCACTCAGCGAGACGGAAGATGAAGGTCATCATCCGCGGTAAAGGAGTGTAAATGCAAACAGGACCTTATTCAGCCACGGTCTGGTTGTCTACAGGATCCTAGCCTAGCATTTCTATAGCAACGCGTGGTGCGCTATCGCCATCTACAGCGCTGGAGGAGGGAAAGTGGACGGATCAGAGGAGAGTTACCGCTCTGCAATGTCGTCCGGGTTTCTCAGACGCTAGAGGGCGCTCCCGAGCGAGTCCAAAATGAATGGGTTAATATGGAGCATTTGAGCACAATCATAGTTTATAAACGCTTATACATTTTTAACGTAGAAGAATGCGATCACAGCATAAAACATTTTAACACTGCTGTTATATTTTTAAGAGCTTTCAAACTCGAGCTATAGGAGTTTAAAACGGCGCCTCATGTCTGTTCATGACATCAGTGAGCGCGAACAGCCAATGAGCTGCTCCGCTCGCCAATCAATCATCACGGTCTAGCAGTAATGCCCGCCTTCTGCTGCCCAAAACCCGTTTACTGTAGAAAAAGGGAAATATATGGATAATATTTGTTTTTTTTAGCGAAATACATCCTTCAGCTTTCTAATATTAAAGAAACATTCTGGGTGAGAAACTATTTTAACTTTTTCGTTTTTAGCCGTTGAGCACCATTTACTTCCATTGAGGACTCGCTCGCGGGCGCCCTCTGCTGTTTAGCCGTCCTGTTTTTGATATAATGGGGGAAATAGGAAGTGGCCAGACTCCTCATAAACTGGCTCTGGACAGATCAGCAAATAACGTGAGCTGCCATTCAGTAATTTCTTCCGGGTTTGTCCGGCGCTAGAGAGCGCGCCTGAGCGAGTCCAAAATTAATGGGTTAATATGGAGCATTTGAGCCAAATCATAGTCTGTAAATACTTAAATGTTGTTTTTTTAGAGAAGAATACATTAATTTCCTGAACATAGAATTTTAACACCGTTATATTTTTGAGTGCTTTTGAACAGTTATAGGACTTTATAACTGCGCCTTCTTTACGTCAATGACCACTTCATTCCGCTCGCCAACCAATCAACACTCAGTAGCCGTAACGTTAACTGCCCAAAACCCATTTGCTGTACAAAAGTAACTACATAGGTAAACTGTCTTTGCTTTTTAGCGAAATACATCCTTCTACTTTCTAAAATTAAAGGAAGGACGTAGACAGGTGGTAAGAAATAATTTTAACGTTTTATTTTTAGCCCTTTAGCTCCATTCACCCCATTCGTTCAGAACTCGCTCACGTGCGCCCTCTGGCGTTTTGCAGTCCTGTGTTTTTATATAGCGGGAGAAGTAGGAAGTGGCCAGGCTCCCCTTGCTGGTTCTATGCCAGTTTACTTCCATACAAAGCAATTATTCACAAATTTAATGTACATTGTGTTCAAACTTCTGAAAAAAAAATTGCCTGGCTATCCAATTAGCTCACTGAGGCAAAATCCGCTGCTTACTGTCCCCTCGTTCACCCTCTGCCACGAATGGTCACTTGCGTAACATAGATGTGACACACACCCACACCCATAAGGGGAGGGCAACGGAATGTAAAAGCTCTGAAATGGGCTTTCACAGTTTTTGTTTGGGTGGAAGTGATTAAAGTACATTTAGTTTGATAATGAAATATCTGATCACACACAGATTCCGTAGCAGCCCCTTAAGGCGGGTTCCTTTAATTTTAAACAGTTTAGCCAACATGGGACAAATTACATAGGAGAAGCAAAGACACAGTAGAATATTTTTTTCCCCCCAAGGGCCCAGTTGTCTTAAGGTCTGTGCATTACCAACGTAAAAATAAAACCAAAATAATGGGCTGATAACTGTATTAAACTAAATTACAGAAGTCAGAATGATCCACGTTATTAACAGAGTAAAACTGCATCTAGAAAACAGCATTTATTTAAAAAACAATAATTCTCCCTATCTGACAGCACTGAGACAAAACTGAGCCAACTTTCAGGGTAAAGCACCTTTTGATGCATCAAGGCAAAATCAAAAGCACAAACTTTTTTTTCTTAAAAATTCTTTTATACTACTATGATAAGCTGAGAGGTATCAAGGTCTCTGCGAAAAGCCCAGTGGGCCTACATAAGTGTTATGCAGAAAGTTATAGCATTCAACTAAAATACCTGGGTACCCAGACCAGAAATAAGGTTTTCACAGAGTACATTCAGCAATACCCTTCAAATTATTATAGCAATACAAAGAGCTAAAAGTTCAAAAACATACTTAGTATCTTCATAATTTAAAGTGAGCTCATACAAATTTGTTATCAAGTCATTGTCTCCAAACAAACAGATAGAAAAAGATTAATTTCAGTTAAGCATCTCAGTAGCAACAGGCAGTTGTAATTTACATCCTTTAACCAATCAATCAATCATGATTAGGAACCGTATAATATAAACAAATCAAGTTTGGGGGCAATTGTTTCAATATTTTCTCTTATTATACAGATCAGAATTAGTCGCGGCTGACAGACACTTAGAAGTAACGCCTTGTGGTACTACAGAAAATTAAAACATTTTCTAATCAATAAGGTTGATGCTTGTCATCAGAAAACACTAATTCTATTCAGGTATGTTTCCACCTGGCATCACACACACACGCACACACACTTCTAAAAATAATGTAAAAACAATAACTCACTTGTGATATTCATAAAAAAAAGACATTAAAATGTTCAAATAAAAGCCAATACAAAGCTTTTACTGCAGGTGGGCTTTCATTTTTTTTCCCCCTAAGATACTGATGTGTGTGATCCATGGGTTGGATTATCCTATACATTTCAACTGTGGCTGGAAACACATACCATGCCACAGCTACGAACATATCAAGATGAAATGAAGAAGCCACACAAAGGGGCTTTTAGGGCTTCCAGTTTCCACACAAACCCTAATAGTGTTGAAAAAGTCTCACCCACTTAATCTGAGGCATGTTTCAATCCTGCAAACCAAAATCTGACCCCACTTTTTTTTCAGCTGTTCCATTAAACCAACATAAAAAAATCTTGAAACCCTAAACCCTTTACAGAACTTTATTCCTCTTCTATGCTGAATTATCTTTTTCCACGACCAGCTGGCTTCTCTTCCTCTTTGCCATGGCTCTGTTGGTGAGCCTTAAGGTTGCTCTCTCTGCCAAAGCTCTTGCCGCACGTTGGACAGGCGTATCGGCCGGCTGTGTGGGCTCGGGTCATGTGGGCCTCCAGCTGCTCAGGACGGTTGAAACTCTCCTCACACTCATTGCAGGGATGAGGCTTCCGCTGGGTGTGCTTCTCTTTCTTATGAGCCCGCAGCTGTGCCAGCGCTGGAAAAGTGAGGTCACATTCTGGGCAGGGGATCTCGCGAGCGGGTGGAGGAGCGGCCTTCGTTTTCTTGCTCTCTGCTTTATCCTCCTCAGCCTTGGGCTCTTGCGTGGATTTCGGTGGTCGCCCTCGCCTGGCCCCAGCCTTGGCCTTTGCCTCGCCTGGTGACGTCGAGACATCCTCAGAGTGGTTGCTCACCCCCGGCTCCTCTGCTTCCTCGGTTTCTTCCTTCTTGCTTCGCTTTTGCTTTTTCTCTACAACCACTGCAGTTTCAGCTTTGGGAGGCCTCCCACGCCTCTTAGCTGGGGTGCTGCCGTTGCAGTGCTGGTTGCCTGCGTGGTTTTCCTGGTGCTGCAGGAGCTCGGCCTCCTCCTCAAAGCCCCTGCCGCACTTGCCACATCGGTGGGTCTTGGTAGGATCATCTGCATCCTCTGCCTCCTGACGCGCAGGGTGCTGGGCCAAACGGTGGCTACGCAGAAGTGCTGGACTTCGAAACGTCTCACCGCATTCTTTACACCCAAACTGACGCTCAGGACATACCTGCCGTCTGTGTGTTGTCAGCTAGGTGCAGGAAAACAAAGAGATTCACAGTTAAGTTCACTATAGACCAAAATAAAATCCAGAACTGGAATCCAGTTTCTAGTCCTGGATTTAGTAATCAATTGCCACTAAATAATAGCCATCAAACAGTTTCAGCAATAGTCCAGTTTACTACCAGTAATTACAAAAACCAGGTATTGGAAGCTGGATTCAAGATTCATATTTGAAGAGATCATATATATCAGTCTATAGTTGCAACAAAAAATATTCCTATGAATCAACTAAGTTTTGCTGAACTAACTAGTGTGCCTTCTTCAGTTCTCCTTTTTCTAGCACCATCAAAATTCTGTCCGTTTAACTAGCAATTTCTCCTTTTATGGGCAAAACTACAGATCCTGTATTGCCCACAACCTTTCCTGTAATGTCCTGCAATCTCCCGGAAAGACCATGAACACAGAGTGCATTTTCTTAAGTAAACAACATGGCAGTAATAAAAATCCACTGAGATTTTATTTATTGTCATTATAGCCATTTGCCAGTGCACAACCAAAGCTTTCCCTTATAGACTTTAAGTCTTTGGTTCAATGCAGAAAAGAATACAGTGACAAGCCTTTGTCTTTTATCTATCAGGGGTGTCCAATTCAACCAGTAAAAGGGCCGTATTAGAAAAATCTCATCAAATCTGTGGGCCAGGGGAAAAGAAGTTTAATTTAATTTTTAATTAATGTTGTGCTATAACCTGAACTGGCCATTGTTTATTTAAAATTTTTAAAAACTTCAACAGTAAAATGTAGACATTTCTCATAGACCGTAAAATATTACATGAATACTTAAAATATTCTAAATTGTCCCCAGGTGCTCTGCCTCTTAAACCTAAGCATCTGCTTGAACTAGACACATGGCGTTCTTTCATTGTTGCAAGTTCATTAAGACTTGGGCTCAATTTCTGAACTGACGTAAAGTGTTTATATTGGTTGACCTGCAGCTGAAATGCATGTTGATAATATGAGAGTTGTGGAATTGCGTAGAATTGAGATGTAACTGCTGGCCCATACTGACTGTTGTTGGGGTAGGAAAGTTGGAGCACATTACGTTGCAGTGCATGCTGGGGACTGTCGTGCAGCGCATTGTGAAACGGGCTAATATTAAAAGAAAATTAAAATACTTTTTCAGGCCGAATAGGATTGTATGGCGGGCCTGATCTGGCCCGCGGGCCTTGTGTTTGACACATGGGATCTATATAGAAGGTATAGGGATGACCAGGGAGTTTCTTTTGATAGAGGCCTGTATAATAACTTTACAGTAGACATGTGAATCATCACATGGAATTCTGAGAACAGTACAGTATGATGAGGTTGCAAGTTAACTGTAGTAAACAAAGAGTTGTTTTATAAATATTAATCTTAATTTTACTTACCTCAGAGAATGTACGGAAGCTTTCTTGGCAATGCGCACATTTGAACGGCTTGTCTTCCTTGTTGTGGGTGGACTGATGCTGTGTTAGTTCCTCGGAGGATGGGAAAGTGCGGTCACACACATAGCAGGTGAACAGCGTGTCGCACTATAGAGGGGAAAAAAAATCTCAGAAGAATTTTCCAATTATTATATATATATATATATATATACACACACACACACACTCACAATTCTGTTTCAATTAAACCATCCTAATCTCTACAGCAAGGCTGGTAACATTGTACAATAAGGCCCCAAAACACAATGTTTAAAACAGCAGCCACAGAATTTATTAGTAGGCACACAATGCAGAGTTTATTACTATGTGACTATTTCGAATTCAGCCTTGTGGAGCACTGGGAGTGCATTAAATATTCATTTTGTTCTAGCACAATCGGTGGCACAAGTATTTAAAAAGATGCATGCTGACGTAAAACAGGACAGAGTGACCCACTATGAAAGAGTTCATGTTCAAGTAAATTTCACAGATCTGCACACAATTCACTGATCTTTGTGTCCAAATATACAATACACTGCACAGATTTCTAACCAGACTATGATCTTCAATAAATTACTTTATTTTGTTCAAATTAAAATTCTTGTGTTTTTTGTGAACATTAAAAAAATCCTGCCTGTTTTATAAATGAAAATTAATTTCTATTTACTCCAATGTTATACTGTGTTTTTAGAAACAGCAGCATTTTTTAATAATTCTGACTTAGACCAAAACAGTTTAATCAATTTCTGGTGATATCATGACACACTAAATGGCTCTCCTGAAGGACCTAAACAAATTGTTGCAAGGTCAGAAATGTACACTCCACTCAGCTATATTTACAAAAAGTTTAAAAATATTCATAAATGACACTTATCTTAATTAAACTGTTTTATATAAATACAACTCTGAAAGCTACAGCTTAACTTTTTGTTACCCTCATTTTCCACCCACAGTTCCATCCTTAAGTTACACTGGGCTGGAACTGGAGAAAGACCAAGTGCACTTTGAATATGGGTTTCAGTAAATCAAATAATCGTTGGCATACAAATCATGATTTACTGCCTTTCTGCCTTCTTCCAGATACTTATAATAGCGGCAGCTTGTCAGCACTAGCCTGGATCTATGATGCCAACATCTTTCCACAGTGACAGAAGCTAATTACGAGAAAAAAAAAGTATGGAGTAGCACTGACTATAGTTAACAAGGAGATTTCATGGGGCACCTCAAACATTTAAACACTAACCTGCTGCAGCTGCTGTTTGTACTCCTCACGATGACTCTTCTTCATATGCCTTTCCTTGGCTTTGGAGTTACAGAAGGTGATGAAACACTGGAAACACTGCAGGCTCTCATGCTGGTCTGTAAAATCAGAAAGAGGATAGTTTAACAATGTACAAAATGAACCTGGTTATTTACTGGAGTAATGCATTGCTATAATGCTTGTTCTCATTTTGATGGTGTGCATGTTTGCAGTGTTTTTTGAAATTTTAACTTCACTTTTCTTATGTTAAACCAAATGAAAACTTCCACTAAATGCTGAAGTATTTCTATAGGAGTTGAAACCATCTCAGTATTGCCCTCAATCTAGTTAGGCTTATACTATAGTCAGGTATACTAAAACTACAATCACGAAATCCAGACAAGTGCAAACTGGAGCTGCAGAGCAACAAAAACCTACCTATTAAAGATTTTTGTTGCCTAAAGTTATGAAAAGCTTCTTACAGGACTAAAAAGTAACTCCACAAATTTTCAAACTTTCTGCATAATTAAATGGATGAGGTGTAAACAAAGTCATTCAGTGTGGTTTGGTACAAAATGCTTTGTTCTGGAGAAACAGAACTGGTTACAGTGGTGGTGACAGGAACCAGATGTCCACCTCTAAAAGCTCCCTCACAAAAAGTTATTACATGAAATGGTTATGAATACTCAGCCTGATGTCCGAGACATTGTTTTGAAGTAGTTTTAAGATAAAGTTTTGGGCTACAACATATTCTAATCAATTTATTTTACCCGTTCTTGGATAATGGGTGTTCTAAGACAAACAGTCCCCAGAGAATACTCCCTTTTTGAGATGTACGACTATTTTATCATCAACAACATTACATAGGAAAAAACTCAGAAGACGTGTAGGTTCACTGGTCATTTTTGATAGTAAATAAAATGGCTATATTTGTGGTGTAGACGTTGGGACCCATGGTTCCAAAGACCACCACTGCACAGAGCTGGCATGTTTCACATTTCACAACAAACCACGCTGAATGACTTTGTTTACATCTCAACCACTGAATTATGCAGACGTATTGAAAAATAGGTGGAATTCCCCTTTAAGGTAAAAAGTTCTTACATGACTGAATGACTGGGGGTGGCGGAGGATCCTGAATGATGATCGTGGTGTACGGCTGCTCAGCCTTTTCAGGATTCAGTTCAGCAGGAGCAGCAGTTTCTCCACCTCCCATCACTATTTCCTCTATCTTCAGTATATCCGAGTCCATTTTAAAGAGCTGGAGTATCTACGTGTACCCAGTTTCCACTGAAAAGAAATACGAAGAGCACAAAACACAGGCACGGTTAAGTTAGCTAGGCTACAAAAGTTGGTCACGTTTGCCTCCAAAATGTCAACGTTACCGTTACTCCACATAGATTAACGGCGACGAAACCAAAATGAAAGCTACAGTCACAGACACTCATTTGTCTCCCGTTAGTTTAAAAATGCTGTTTTGTGTTTAACTAGCAGCATTAAAAGTTTAATAATCAGCCCCTTTTCTGTAAACGCTACAGTTGTGCGAGTTGCAACCCCGACTAGCCGCTAACGTTAACATTCAAATGAACGACGGGTGGCTAGCGAATTAGCCAGTTAGCTAGCCTAGCTAAGTTAAGAAGGCCGGATACATTCAGCTCAGCGGTCTAGAAAAGTCCGGAGAAAGTCAGCCAGCCTAAATGTCAAGCTAGCCACCTCTGCTAGACAAAATGAGCCGGAGACGGAGTTAAGACGGACTCAAAATGTGAGGAGATGCCAAACTGCAGGCCAGCTAGCGTTAGCTAGCAAGCTAACAAACTGAGGGCCCGACTGACACAGCTAGGTTAGCCCTTTCTCCGCTCCACAGAAACAGACCACGCCGTAAGTTACCTATCTGTGTGGGCGCTGGCATTACAGTGAACTCAAACAAGACCTGTTCACCATCACGCCTACTGGACTGAATGTGCTTAGCTTGTCCGTTCATGTTCAAAACAAACCACCGTATCTTTGCGCTTTAGCTGGCTGGCTAACTTGGCTAATAAGTATCCTTCGAGGTTAAACTTGTAGTTGTCTATTATCAAACACAGCGCGCGGACGCGCGAGCTCGAGCAAGCAGTTAATGTAAACGGACGCACAGACTCTTCTTTTTTACCATTCAAAAAACATACAAACGAGCAAATTCCTTACCAGATATCGCTACACTTTTATGGAGGGAAAACACCACCAGCTAGTCATGCAAATGAATGTAATAGGGGGGCGCAAGTGGGTCGCAAACCTGACTAACTCACTGGACCAGCATCCAACCGGCTGCAGGCGCTGAGAAATGGGCCCGTAGCTGGGCGCACTGCCTCCCACTGGACGAGATCAACTGCGCATGCGCAAAAGCCAGGCTGTTGTTTTTAAGACGAATTCCGCCGATTTTCGTACAGAGTGGTTTGGGGTGAAACGCTCCGTTCTAGAGAAACTAAGCGTGGCAGAGTTGTTCACAGTGGTAATGGTGATATGAACCAGACGCCTGAAGAGTGTAATGCCGCTAAAAACATGTTTTTAAACACCACGTACTTGCAAGTAGCGTTACATGCAGGGTGGTGAAAGACAAAATAGTACTGAATGAAAACTTCATTTTCAGATTTACAACTATTTTACAACGAAAACTCATATGTGCAGGTCTATACCATAATTTATTATATATATATATATATATATACACACGCACATATTATGGAATAGACCTGTTAAATTTTAAAGTCGATGTACCTGTATATATTTCAAAGTACATTTTTTTTTTCTAACACTTTGATCAACACCTCCTCAGAGAACACAGTTCTGCACGTTAATGCACAATTACTGTTTATTTGCTGAATTTACCATATAAAGGGAAAAATAAAACACTTTTTTTTTTTTACAATATGTTAAACCAAAATTGCGCACTAAAACTTGGAGAAAACTGTCATATTTAAGTGTGTTCCCAGTAGAGGATGTGTTAACTTCATCATTTATTTGTACTTGGAAAAGCAACAAAACAAGCAAATTGATCAGGAGTGTTCAAACTTATCTAAACCCATTTTTTTGGCATTTCAGTGTAATTTGTCAAATTGTCATCATGTTACTCAAAATATTTATCTTGTAATATGGAGTTTGTACCTCCAAAGTACTATTTTTAAAAATTATTATTTTAGTGAGTTTCTCACATTTTCCAATATGCCAAACTCAGCAAATAAAATGTGCAATGAACACACATATGTGCAATGAAAGTTTGCACAAGTTTCTTTTAAAAGTCTTTTTTTTTTAAATTTCATGTCATAAAATGTCCAAAAATGTTTTATTTTTCTACTGTGGTATTAAAGTCCCAGGAAACACAGATCAAAATATTAAAAATGTATGTGATACTAAACGTGAGTTTTGCATTAAACATAAATGAAAATTATAAGATATAAATGTAATAAAACACAGCTTAAAAACCTGATCAGACCTACCTGAGTAGGTGTGGCTAATAAGCAGGGGAATGCTTAGGGATGCACTATCCAAGATTAGGACCATCCAGTTTACATGCAGGGGAGAGAAATATAGTGAAATATATCAGTCATTTATAGGTCATTGGGACATTATTCAAAGGGTTTACTTAGTACATGTTTACTGTTGGCCTGCTAGAGCATGATTAACATAATTACAGAAGAAACACAGATTTAGGTTCCCTGGGTCTTTCAGTTACTATGCCGATGCCTATAAAGAGGCAAAAGTAAAAAATGGTTGACCATACAAATATATCAGTGGTCCTGTAGTCAGAAACTGACCATTGATGAAGGAAACTGACCACTTTATGTTTGAATAAAAGGCATTAGTTTATGTAATACTTTCGTTTGTGTGCACGGGTTTGGGCATTATTTTTCCTTTGTTGAGGTCTTAAAAAAAGTACTACGTTTGTTGCTTAAACTTGCGCAGAAACCCTGAGAACAATGGATTGGCCACCCCAAAGTTCAGGCCTCAAAATCACTGGATGTGTTTAGTATTACTTGGATTATGAGAAGCAGAAGATTCAACCAACTTCTAGGACTGAACTTCGGAGGTGTGGAAAAATATCCCTGCAGATTTCTTTGAAATAAACAAAAACAAGTCCCCTGAAAGGAACAGCTACACTGTAAAAAGTGAGATCTACCCAAAAAATGTACCTCATGTGGTAACAAGTAAATTAACTCGTTTTATTCAACCTAAACAAATACTTTGAACAAACTATTCTTTCAATTAGTCATTTTTAAGTTGAATAAAACTAGTTTAATTGCTTGTTACTGTAAGAAGTAATTTTTTTAAGTAGATCTGACGAGACACTTTTTACAGTGTATAAAGGCAAAGAGTGGACCCACTAAATACTGCAAAAAATATTATTACTTATTTTTAGTTGTTAAAGCTTCTGTGTAATTTTTACTGCTTTCTTTCTGATGCTAATAAATGAATAACTTGTACACAGTAGTCTTTTTAACTGGAAATTATTTAAAGGAAATTTCTGTCCACATAACTAATATAAACACACAAACAACAAACAAAACAACAGCAAATTATCCATGCCATTTACTTAGCAATTACAAGTACTTACAAAAAGACATTCTGACAATTGATAATTAGGACAAATTGCACCTTTAAATACTCACTGGCATGACATCTGCTCACAGGACATCGTAATTTACAATTACAGCTATGTTTTTAAAAACAGTTATGCACATATTGTGGGCATAAACAAAGGAATTGGAACAGGTAGTACAAAAGCAGAACAGACCAAAAAAGTGATATCACTGTCGGGCAGCCCTTCTACGTCAAGCAATAACTTAATCGATGATGATAAATAAGTAAACAAAACAGGTTTAATAGAGCATAAGATCACAGTAAGTTAATACACTTCAAGCAGCCCCCTGGCTGTGAAACTTCAGAAAACAGTTGTGATTGCGCGAAATGCAAAGGAACACGCAACATTTGAGGCATCGTACACGGGACGTTCGCTCGCAACCTCCAAATCTACACCTGGCTTCTTCGCCTTCGGCAAGCTGCTCTGGCCAGTGGCCCAAACCGTCATACCGCGTGGCTGCATCAGGCAAAGGAGTCTCAAAGTCATTAGCAGGGCCCACGCTCGTATTCGGGCTGGGCCGTTTCGGAGCTGGGGTATATGGAACTGATTCTTGAGCAGTGGTACTGCTGGGCAGGATTAAAGCTTTGGATACTTCCAGCCGGAAAGCCATGAGTGACAGTGGCTCAGAAACGTTGTTCTGACCTTGTTTGTACTGTAGCCAGGAGTTAACTAAAGCCAGATCAATAAGGTCCCAAAGTACAGACAGTGGCCAGGCACCGGCTGATGGACTCGTGCATGGTGTGCGATAAAGGCTTCTCAAGTCTCTGTTTAGGTTGGCCGCCTTGATCGCCCGCTCAAAGCCGCTGACGAGGGACGTCGAGCGGGACTTTTCCTTTGTTACTGCTGACAGGATGAAGCCATGATGGCATCGGAACAGCTTCAGCTTCCCATCAGGGGTCATAAACTCATCGCCTACTTGCCCCCTCGCACCACCAACCTTGCCAGCACTGCGAACTCCTACCTCTAGCAGATGCTCCAACATGGAAGGTGTTGATAGCTCTGGTTTGCAAAGGAAGATCATCCCTTGGTTATCGCCCTTTTCCCATGAAACCATTTTCTCAACCACTTCTTCTCTGTTGGAGTCGTTTATACGCAAGTTGAAATCCATGACCAAGCCAGTAACACTTATCATGACGGTGTGATGTAATGAGTGAGTTGGGTGCCTCTGAAATGGAAGGGGGTACTGGTCAACTCCATGGTTCCCATGTCTTTTAAGCGCTCGACACCCTTCTCGGACTCGGTTCACTATTGCTTGAATTTTCCACAGAGGCTCAGTCTTTGATACGGAAAGGTCTGTGCAGTTCTGTGTATTCTGGTACCCGCTCAACTGAGAGAACACAGACGGTTTAGACTTTTCACCTGCCGCAGGTATCTGTCTTGGGGTTTCAACACTGGCACCCAGCTCATTTGTGCTCTTTTGACCACTTTGTTCATCCCCGTTCGTATGTCTGGGATCTCCTGTTGGACTGGCCAACCTCAGTTTATGAGTGAGTTCAGAGAACCTGGAAGCTGACATGGCATCAGCAATCAGCGGCACTCGAGTGCAGTCCTCCCAGTACAGCTTCATACTCGGAAACTTACAGGAATAAAAGACAGAAAGATGATTTTCAGTATATGAAGACATATATTCAGGATTCAGAGTATAGGCAAAATGCTATATTGCGATTATACAATGGATTGGCCTACTTAGAGCCCTCAACATCTTTGGATGTGTTCGGGCTTATTTGGATTGTGAGAAGAAGGAAATTCAACTTCTAAGACTGAACTTTGAAGGTGTGAAAAAATATCCCTGGAAATTTCTTTGAGAAACTCAAAGCAAACCTCCTGAAAAGAATTTAATAAAGACAAAGGGTAGACAGTAAATACACCAAAGTCATTGTGGCTGCTATGTAACTTGCTTTTCGTTTTTTTTCCCTGATGTTGAAATATGAACAACTTGTACTTAATGTCTGTTTTGACTGGAAACTATGTTAGCATTGGGATTATACTGCCCCATATTGCAACTGTGATGCGCCTTACAACAGACTAAACCAAAGTGGTAAACCCTTGATATGGTGTGGTTAAAGACTGGCCTGCACTGTTATGACCAGAATTATTCACGTCTTGTTAGACTTGATTTGTTCCTTTTGTCCTAAAGGACACCCAAAGTGATTAATCAGAGGCTCATCTGCATATGCAGACTAACAATATTAGTACTGTGAAGGCTGATATCACAATAACAATTAGAAAACAATACATTGTGCAGCCCTAGTATTCCAAAGCAAAATGCCTAGAAAAAAAAGGGGTAAGACCCCCCCAGATATACACATTTGCGGAATGGCTATGGTCTAGATTTCATCTGGATCACTTCATTCCTAGAATTTATTGCCCTGGAAACTTTGATCAATTATTTGGTACTGGATAAAAGTGATCAATACGTTTACATTATGCTAGCTATAGCAATCGTTGGATAAAATTAGGAAACATTTTAACTGTCTTGTTAAAGATAATTTAGCTCTGCCAAATTACATAGTGTGTTCTGTCATGCCTAATGATCATTTATGCTATTGTTGTTGCCATAATACTGTTGTAATCATTATATAATTACAATAACTATTCAATGAAAGACATTTACATTTCAAGTGTTTCTATTTTACTGTCATTTGTCTTTTGTCATAGCTTATTAAAATCATATAGAATTATT